TGTCCCCTACCAACTAGTTCTTCTTGCCTACCGCCTTCCTAGTGCTATTGACCTCAAGTTCCTGGATTTTCTGGCCGTCCCCCCCCCTACTTAGTACACATCATATGGTCTTTATCGCTCTCAACAATCTCGACAGACGTGGAACATCCTTTCCCTCAAGAGAATCCTACTAGCCACACCAGTTCTTCGTCATGTCATTGACGTCAATAGCCTGTCCTCAACCTACCGGTTTTTCTTGACTACCGCACTTCCTAGTGCTATTGACCTCAGTTTCCTGTACTCACTGGCCGTTCCCCCTCTCCCTTAGTCACACACCATATATGGCCTTAATCGCTCTCCACTGCTCCCATTGGTCCGTTCTCCCTAACCAACCCCCCCTGCCTACTTCGTATATAAGCAGCACCTTCCACATCCTATCACCACAGCTACTGCTCTCTGCAGCTATTCAACTGCTCTGAAGATGGAGGCGCTACGTTCCTCCGAAACGTCGGCCAAAACGAAGAATACACGGTGCCTAAACCCAGAAGACAACTTTCTTCAGATAAGAACATGTCTACAAAGTGACAGACAAAGTGACAGTGTCATATTTGATTAGCTGTGTATTACTGAATTGACTGAATTACTCTGACAATATGGTGCACTGTGATATCATAATTAACACAGCTGTGTGCCCTCTGTGATCAAGTGGTCAGAGTTCCTGTCTATAGATCCAGAGGTCCCGGGTTCAATTCCTGACACTACCAGGTTTTCTGAGAAGTAGTGGGTGTGGAACAGGGTCCACTCAGCCTTGTGAAGATAACTGAGGAGGTACCTGAATGGAAAAGTAGCAGTTCCGGTCTAGAAAACCACAATTAACGGTTGTGGGGATTCGTTGCACTGATCAAGCGACACCCACTATCTGCTAAAGTTGGCATTAACTTCTCTAACAAGTGGCGGCCGCTCAGTTAGTATAGTTCACTTGTGGACTAAAGTCACGGAGTTTGTTCTTTTGTGTGACAACTTTTCATTCAGTGAGAACAATCACATTTCTGTCATTTTCCTTCATATTATTTAAAATCAAACAATAAATATATGTTGACCGTTATTGATAATACTAGAAAATTGATACATAATTTGGATAATTGTGAACACTACCCACAAATAAGAATGAATTCTTGATGGAATTATGACCAGAATATAATGAAGAAACACACCACCAACCATCTTCCCAAATCCAGATTAAATAAATACTTCTCAATGTTCATTCCATGCAGACTGAAGGGGAATAAAAGTAACATCTGGATGTAAGAATATAATGTAAGGAACAATGAAGACAAGTCTATGCTTTCAAGTATGAATTACTGTGATCCTGGATCCTACACATGCAGCTAAGGTGGCAGTAGAGCAACACTCCTCTGTAAGGTTTCTCTGGGGAGCAGTGACATAATGCTAAATACAGAAAATCTTAAATGAAGGAAGGGTAAAATTTAACACTAAGAATGGGACTTGGAATCTTTGAACATTACTTGGGAACAAACCTTAAATTGAGAAACAGCAAATGAGGATTCCATTGTAATGCCAGCTGACAGAATGTACTTGAAAACTTAACATGGAAATTCATGGTCTACTAGACCCTGCATTCTGTAGTAAAACATTACTGACTTTGTAGAAGTAAGGGAAGAGTGGAAACAACTGTACTGTACTGAATCTGGCTGGTCTCAAACTCAAAATCTGCATAGAAATAATCACAAAACCCATTTAAAATCACTACTACATTCTCCCAGTTTATGATGAGATGTTTAATGTGTGACTGATACCTAGCTTTTTGTTAGGTATGTGAAAGGGAAATATAATGTGAATGACATGCACACTGCATTAAAAAAATCTTTGGTTAAAATATCACCTTGACAGAATGAGATCACTTGAGAGATCTACACATATAAATGCAAATATGCAAAGAAATCTCACAAAATCATGGGCTGTTGTAGCTCAGAAAGTCAAAGAGATTTGAGTATTCAACTAAGAATTCATCTTGTGGAAACACTAAAGAGAAAAAAAATATAACTAACCTTGCTTGATTTATTATTATTGCATATCTATGAGATGCCCCTCCAACGCAGGTGACAATGTTCCTTCCATGTTGTTTGAAACCTTCCAGGACACATACTTGTGAATGGACTCTGCATGTGTGCGTCTGTGTCGTGCCAAATTCCCCTGGTCTGGAAAGTGCTTCTGACATATCTCACATTTATAAGGCTTTGCGCCAATATGTGTGTGACTGTGCTGTACCAAGTATCTGTGCTGCATGAAACTCTTATCACATGAGTCACACTTGTGAGGCTTCTCCCCTGAGTGGGAACGCGTATGCACCAGAAGATAACTACTAGATGAAAATCTCCTGTTGCACAGGTGACACCTGTATGGCTTGTCTCCAGTGTGGGTTCGTGTGTGGGCCACTAGATGTCCCTGTTGAGAGAAACCTTTGTTGCAAAAATCACAAATAAAAGGCTTCTCTCCTGTATGTGTCCGTCTGTGGTGCACCAAATGTGTCCGCTGGGTGAAACGCTTAGTGCAGAAGTCACACTTGAAAGGTTTTTCACCAGGATGCGTTCGGAGATGCAGTGCAAGGTTACCTCGCTGAGTAAAACTCTTATTGCATATTTCACACTGGTATGGTTTTTCTCCAGTATGAATACGTCTGTGTTCAGTCAAATGGCCTTGCCTTGTGAAACTCTTTGTGCACAGATCACATTGGTATGTCTTCCTCTGAGGATTTGAACACACTTTCTTATTGTCTTTAGACTTACACTGTTTCACGCCTAATATTATGGAACAATTATTTCCAGGATGTTCGCTCCGTGATGAGATGCCACTGTCATCTCCTTGTTGGCTGTCAGCATGCTCTGCAAACATACTGGTTCCACCAATGAAGTCTTCCATACCAATAATGAGCTCCACACTGTGAACAAACAAGCCACATGGGTGCTTCAGTTGGAAATTGTTTTTCCTGTGGGGAAACAGAAAAATTATATAAGCCAAAATGTGGTAGCTCATGAAATGGTTAAGCTCAGAAAAGACTTGAACCGGGGAAAGTGAAGATATGAAACTGACTGATTCTGAACCAGATGACAAAAGGATTGTTTTTTCACTTCCATATTCACTACAGCCATAAAACCCACCCAATCTTGTATCTAACAAGTAACTAGGCCTTGATTGCCAGGGTGAAATTGATAAAATAAGAAACAGGCCATCAACTTATCCAGTGCTGAGAACATTACAACCCATCTATTTAAAACTACTACAATTTGTAATTCGCCCATATTTCACTCATTAATGCATATTTTTTTCCATTGGCGCTACAGCCCTCATTTGGGCCTAGGCCTACCTCCATGAAACTCTCCGTTCAGTTTTACTAGATCTTAGACATACAGTAGGACTCCTTGGGCGGATGATCAGCTCGTCGCAAGGCCTCTACCTGTACACAAACACACAAAAACGCACACAAACATCCATGCCCTGAGTGGGATTCGAACCCATGATCCCGGCTTCCGAGCGAGCAAAGACAGTGCATGCCTTAGACCGCTCGGCTACCGTGACCGGCCATTAATGCATATACTGCCTCTAATTTGTTCTGGCTGTCTAAAAGTCATAACTTTCGTTTGTTCACCAGTTATCTCCATGGATAATTCTGCAGCTATAATATTCAAATTGCATACAGAGTACTGCAGATCTAGCCAGAAAGCTCTAATCATCTACAAATGGCATAATATTAACATTCAAATTTTTACTAATACAGATACTGAGATTCATTATGTTGTTTATATACTTATATATGATGATGAGAAACTATAGGCTTATTGCATATGATCTTGAAGTAACTAAACTGAGTTCCAGTTGACTGTCAGTACTGTGTAATATACGGAACAGAAGTAACTTCAGAAAGTATGTGCATATATAGGACTTACCTCTCTGAACAGAAAACATGGTCTTGTATCATCACCTCATCCTCAGGCTCCTGTTTGATTACAGTGTCATCCCGTACCTCCTGCTGATATAAAATGAGCCAGATTAGCAAGCAGAAGCGATGTGAACCAGCATGCCTTGTAAGCTACACTTAGGTACACAGTTGTTATGTAGCAAATAAGCCAGTGACTATACAAAAAAGACTAAAAGTTTCTTGCTCTGCCAAACTGATTAGAAATGTCAAATAAGAAGTCACTTTGCAAGCAATGCTGTAGATTATATGGAGGCATATTTCCAGCATTTATCAGTAGGGATGGAGGACAGTGCTAGAAACTTCAGCCAGGAATTTGAACAGGTTAGTACACAAATATGAAGCACGAGCGTCGCCCACTGCATTGTGCTGTTAAGTTAAATTATAACGTTGTTCCTCCTAATTACACAAATGTCTGTGTTACTGCCTGAACTGAGTAACAACCTGCTGAAGAGTAACTCACTCTGGCATCTCCCTGTGGTTCCTGTTTTACAGCAATGAGGTGTTTCTTCTTATGGAATGAAGAACTTTCAACAGCTGATGATTCAGGGTCCTGTTTGACTCCATGTGTGTCCTGCTGCAACACAGTGTCTAATAAGGAGCAGTATTCAAACTACAACAAAAGTATCCTTGAGCAATCAGCCATGATAGTATGGAGACTGCCTCTGCCACAAGCATTGCAGATTGATGTGATGTGTGAGGCATGCATATGGTTCGCTTGGGATCCTTGTTTGAAAGCAGACAAATATGGGAGCAGAGCATGGACTCAGATATCCACTTACTCAAGCCCAGGCCACAGATAATGCTGCGGAACCTGCAGTCTGGAATATCCACTGAATAAGGCAATCAACAGAAGCCATGGGAACAAGAATTAAGGCTCATGAATGTCCCAGGCTTTTCCATATTTGGCAGCAATGGTTGCGGTGATGCCGTTCAATGCATAAACACCAGACTCTGCCAACTGCTCCACTACTGGTCCAGTCTTCTATAAGGACATGGACTCTGACAGCCAACTGCATACAAGGTGCTCTGTCAGTTCCTGAAGGAGGCAGAGACAGTCTCGGATGGGAGAATTAATTCCACATGGACACCACTGATTACCAAGAAAACTTCACTGCATTCAGTAGCTATTAAAGTTTCAAATCCTGTACAGTACGTTAACATTAACAAGCCCTTACATTGTACAATATGTTGTCACAGAAATGATGTTTTTCGCAGCTCAAAAATTAAAATCAAGCAAATCAATATGATGTAAATTGTTAAAACACATATAACTGGCCAAACTAGCTTTAATAACTTAATAACCATTAATCAACCAACAGATGATTAAAATAACCATGAATAGGAACTTACATTATCATTAGAAATTGGAACTTAGTAACTTTCTAACTCTTCATCCAGAAAATTTTGGATTGCAGTAGCGTAGTTGGTTGAGGCACTGTGCTACAAGCTGGAAGGTTGCGGGATCAAATTCCAATGAGGTCACTGGATTTTTTTTTTCAGTTGACCTAATCCTTCCAGCAACACTATGGCCCTAGGGTCGACTCAGCCTCTAACAGAAATGAGTACCAGGAATATTCTCGGAATGTTCTTGGGAGTAAAGGGCGGCCAGTTCATAAGGCTGACAACCTTACCGCCATCTATGAGCTGATTGTCTAGAAAATGTGGGAACCTAGGCATCTCACAACCCTATGGGCCTCCACGGCTTGTTACTGGGATAGCTTTACTTTCCTTTTTACTTTTTTCACCTGTATTCAGCATAACATGAGAATATGATTTCTGTTTCTATGTACTTCATACTGTTTCACGGTTGTTTCCAAACCAATGCAAGCAACACACTGATGGACCCCTACATGGCAGGCAACTCATCCATAAACCAATTCTAAATGGTTTTGATGATGGTCATATTACTCACTACTTCTGCGTTTCCAGACTTTGTCCAGTGTCTTACTTAACACTCCAAACTGGCCTTGGTTCAGAAATTGTATGTTTCTATCCTCAGGTAAAATATCTAATACCAATCACTGGACCAAGCCCAGTAATTTGGATTTCCTTCACCTATCATACCCAAATGAGTAGGTATGTACCCATTTCCTAGACGAGGTGCAAACAAAGCGTTTCAGTTTGGAATATGAAGACACTGGAAAAAGTCCAGAAATTCAGCTCATCTAGAGACTGCAACAGCTGTTGCAGTTACAATAAACACAAACTACCGAATTTCAATGAAAACAATGACACACCTGATGGAGTAGCAGCATATATACACTGAATTCTATGTTGTGTAATTTTCTAAAATCCTCTTTGACTCTGATATGCAAAACAGAAATTGCACTCACCTTGAATTCACTCTTGACAGAGCAAAACAGGACAGGGGAATCTTCCTGTTTGAAATGAACCAGCTTAAACTCATTTAGTGTTGGGCCCATATCAGTGTCGGCACCAGGCTCCTCTTTGATCACGCTCATGTTGTGGTCCGCCCTCACTTCATTGTGAACACATACACAAATGAAGAAAGTACACAGAACTGGACATCCAGTGTCCTCTGGGCTTCATTATATTTAAAAGACTAATTTGAAACATGTCCAACAAAAGTATTAAATGACTGTTTCAAATTACCTTTATGTAGAAGAGTCCTGTTTCAAAAACTGATTAATCAAGTCAACCAGTCAAGAATTCTCTGCCATTCATCAACTTGGAAGTTCAATACTGTGTTCAAAACACTGAATCCTGCATGAGCTACATGAATCCTGTTCACATTCTCACACCTTGGTGCATCTAATAATCTCTTTAAACAATCCTAAATGATAACTACGATAAGTTTTTAAAAAATAACTCTATATATATATGACTGGTACTAAGAATAATGATCATCTTCATGTACCTGATTCTCATTTATAATCTTATCAGAGACGTGTATATTACTCAGGTGTCAAGCTATTTAATGTATTACCTAACAGTATCACAATTTTCAGAACAGACAAAAATCAATTTTGGAAGGCTTTACTAAGATATCTGCTGAGAAATTATTTTTACTCTATCGATGAATTTATAGAGCATATAATAGTTATTATTTTTAAGGTGAGTTACCCCATGCACTGTGACCATTTATTGATCTATTGTGCATCCCCCTCTTTAATTATTCTAACTAGTCTCCATGCCCTTCCAGTACTGGTGCTCACTAACAGCCCCGTTCTGCAAGGGAGGTCGGCCCTCTCCGGTAGTGGTCCATGATACTTCCCCATCTATTGGATGGTAGATAGGGAAGTAAATCTACGACATGGGACACACGGCTTAAAGTCCCTCCCAGAGGACTTGTTCCCCTGAATTTTTCCGCCCTTAAAAATTCCTCTGCTGGGTTTGAACCCACACACCTTGAGTCATGAGGTGGGAACGTTACCCCTAGACTACAGAGGCCGCTCATACACGAGTTACAAAGATAGAGGATAAATAAATGTTATGAGTAAACATATTGTAAGTTACTCCCTTTGGTTGGATTTAATAGCGGCTGTACTGATTAATTTAATACTTGTCAATTCTAGCCAGTTAAGGCTGAGAATGGACTTAACATGTATGTATTTTTCTAAATGGGAAAATTGGACTGACAACTTGTGCTCTTTGCATGAGGCTCTATTTACCTTATACATATTTTAATATATTATATCTTAAATTTTATATGTTATATTTAATACTGTATATTTATATTTATTGCATGTGATCTTTTATGTAAGACTTTGTATGTGACAAATTTTATATCCAGCCCTACTGGGTAACAACTGGATCTATGAAATGTAATTACAAATAAATAAATAAATAAATAAATGTCTTGATACTGGCTTCAATTTTCTGTCCTCTAAGGTACCCAATAACGAAGTGCAGAACAAACACACAAAACATATCTATATTCTTCATCTTAGTTACAGTCAGAATACAGTGTCTCCCGCCATTATAACATTTAAAATGATTTTTGATCTCACAGCACACCTTTTTGGATAGTTGCGATCAGGTCAATTTGGCAAAAGTAAACTCAATGTAACTCTACCACCAGAAATTCCAATCAATTTAAGGTTACCGCAACTAACTTACGCCTTCTGATATACTACCAAATTCATTTTACTTACACGCATGCAAGTAGAAGAGCAAAAATTCAGATATAATATGCCCCGTTCAAATCAACCTATAGCAGCAATATCATGTTTTCTTGAGACAGTTCAGAAAATTTCACCAACTTTGAATTTACAGAATCCTTCAAAGTAACATGTTCTGTATCAAACAAACTACACGGTAGGTGACATCTTACGCAATTGGCATACGTAATTTATATAATATTACCTACACTCAAGACAAGTCCACGTTACACTTAACCGTCACTAATCTAACACATAGGCCGAATAGGTAACCCACGATAACAAGACATTGCTTGTCCAAAAATTGACTAGCTTCCGGAAACATCATGTCGCAGGGATTCTAGTATGCCGTGACCTTTATCCGAGAATTAAAAGTAACAAACATAAAATAAATTGCTTCCCACATTTTTTTCACAGGCTTATTATACTGAAAAATTCATGCACGCATGTAGAGCAAAAGTACTGACTATGTTTGACAGGAGGAAAGCAAGTATCCGTCCGTGGCTGATAACTGGAACGTCATTTTAACCTTTCAATACCACAGACTATAGATTGTCAATTTATAAATAATGAAGTAGAAATGATAGGCAAGGATGTTGTTGGAGCCTAATTTGAGGTATCCCGGAGTTTTGCTGAAGATTTATTGTAGATTGCAATACACAGCTCCCATACCAATTCCACGGATTTCAGCAGTGCAACAAGCTTGGAACCTAACCGTCATTGAAAAGGATGAACATTGTGTTTATTCACCTGCTTTAAAGGATTGTAAAACATTCATTTTGTATTGTTGCTGCACAGGTCACATAGTGTGATATGGCAGAATGGTAATAAATGAGATGTGACTGATGTATAAGGAAGCAATTGGGAAACATTTTAATCAATTCTCCCACATTTTTCATGATGGAACGAAAATCTATCAGGATCCTAGCTTGTAGGCCAAGATTGGGCCCAAGACCTAATATGAATCAGGAATGCTAAATACTGCACTGAATTATTTGCTGGTTCGTTATTCAACACAAAATTAATTTATATACCTATATTTCATACATTTTCATTTTAAATTACTATATATATGTATACACACACGATATCTGCTTGTAAATACAAAAGTACACATTTCTGATGTCATGTTTACCACATGAAAGTTCTCTATCTTGATTTTATATTGTTAGAGTGGCAAACATGTATGCAAGGTTGCGAGTTCAGTTGATGTTGTTGATCCCTCTAGTGTGAGACCGAGAAGACTGCACAAGCAGTCAGAACCTATCCATATATCTGCTGTTTAAACTGAACGCAAGTGACTTTCAGTCCAGCAGAAGAGTTGCAAAATGCATGCCTCTGTAACTGAAACAACACAGCAAGTATTGCAGCACCAACGAGATTATGTTGACTGGCTGGCAGGCAACTGGACAAAGAAGTACCTGGATTATAAAATTTGGTTCAAAGGTTGTTGTAAATGCCAGAGCAATAAATATGCTGCATATTTTCCTAGTGAAAATATTAACTTGTAATATGTCACATGATACCCAAGGAGGCAAACTAGATTTATTTGCACTTCTGTCAGCTGTGCCTGTGTCCACATTGCAATGTTGTTTCCACCAACAGAAAGCATACATGCAGAAATATTATAGTATAGTACTTTGATTCCAGTGATGGAAGCACCGCTAGCAGTGTAGGAAATAACAGACAACTGTATTATTGGCTTAAGACTATACTGATGATTGCTTCTTTGTTGCTCATTTTAGAATGCTGAATGAACACAAAATATTTTTGTCAAATGAGAAATTCTTACATGCCCTGAGTACAGAGATAGATGAGAAAGGAAACAGCCCTGTCTCAGTTTCCCAGAATTTGTGTAGAGTGCCTGAAGAGAACCATGAGAACTTCAGTCATAACTATCAAAACTGGAACACGACAGCTGAGGTTTTTCTAGTTTTCTTCGTTTCCTCTCTGCAAAACTGCTCCTTCTCACATTCATCTTGATTTCCAGTACAGAGTTATAATACCACATATGCAGTGCAACTTAACATCTGGAGATGATACAACATAACCAAATAAACAACAGTACAGTGTTTCCATGGCTTCAACAGTCTGTGTTATAAGAAGAAATTTCTGATGTTTTGGAGGAATCTGCTTCCCCTACATTCAGAGTTGTGTGGGGAAGGCAGAAGGCGGAAAGCAGAAGCCAGGAAGTAAAAGTAACATTATACCAGATGCATGTGCCACTAGTATCGTCACTTCATAATGCTCTTGTTTCTGTCAGTGGTTTTCAGGAGCTGGGGAATACTGCATACAAATACCAATGTTGAGACTGTTTGCCATGTTCCACATGCAGCATACAAATACTTCATAATGTAAAATGTTCCATCGGTCCATGTCCTTGACTATCACTGACAGCTTAAAGATGTGTGTTTCCATGAATAACTTTAGAATCAACCGGCTCATGTTCAAGTAATTCTGTTAGAGGAGGATACCTTACATTAACAATGGCTGTTCAGAGAGGCATGCTATAGTTTCACAAGGCTGTATTTCGATAACCATTATACACATTGTTGAAGCTATTCACTCAGTCGAAGCTTAACTCAGAAAGTTTCTGTCAGTAAATATCCACATACATTCCCTTTGCAGATATTTACCTGATAACCAATTTAGCCCACTTGTAGAGTTACTGCTATTACAGCCATAGTTCAAGTACATTGGTCACCGGTCCACCACGGCCATGCAAGCCACTCTTGATGTAACTCCATGAGAATATTTCATGGGTCAAGTGAGTGGGGCCTGGGAAGTGGACGTGAAGGTGAGGACTTATTACATTAACTTCAAAATCACATAATTTGATGTTCCACGACTTTCATGTAGAGTTATCAAAAGTGCTGGGCAGCTGGCTGACCCAAACAGGGTCACTATTGGCTAGATATGTCATGCCTTTAATGGAACCTATGCTAAGGAAATTTACACACAGAAACTTCCTTGGTTAAAATTAATTTCAGTGAGTTGTTCCTTTGATAATAAGTATAATGGTTAAGAGAACAAACACAGCCTCCTAAATACCAGAGTGATCTTCTACATGTACTTTGTAATATCCTGCCCCTCTTAAGTACAAGACAGATATAGTTTTCACATGATAGATACATGTGAAAGAATATTCTTGACGATACCATGCAGTCTCCCTCTTATGTCATTCCTGGCATTCATAGTGATTGTGTTGGTTTATAGGTTGTTGAATCCATAACCCATATTTCTACAGACATTTCCGTCCCCTGCATTTCACAAATGCGTAGATGCACAGTGGGTAAAAAAAAAAAAAAAGAGGCTATATATAAATAATACTGATAATTTGTGGAGAGAATGGCTGCCTGAGTCAGTAGAAAGTACAGTACTTGGCATAGCCAGCAGCCTCTAACTTTTAATATAACATTTGTGCCAACAGCAGAAAGCTTTTGAATCATGTAAATAACATGTACCAATGTGGTCCCTACCTCCCAGAAAACATACTGCATTCCCATCACAAGAATCAGTGTTCGGGGAAAAGATTGCTGTTTAGTGTGAGAACTGAATGGACCACATAAATAAACTGTGAGTGCGAAATGAGGAGTTACTGAATGGTGCATACAATTACCACTGCATGCTAAAGTAAATACATTACAATTTATAGTCAAACAAATACTGGAAATTTGTCAAGTAAAGAAAATGCCATGTGTAAGCACCTTGCTTTGCTATGGTTTGTAAATACTATTGTTATTCTCCAGCTGTAATTAAATGCAATATTTCTTTGCAGTGCCAAATTTTGCTTCAATTATTACAAACTGTCAGGGAAAATGACTCTGGATTTTCAAATGATGTGCAATCCAAATTTGATCACAGCGACTAAACCTATCACTGCCATTCAAAACGTAGAGAACTGACATATATTGTAATGCACTGACACACAGACCAGTAGTAATTCTGATGACAAGCTTCAACACAGTGTCACCACAAAACACACTTCTTGTCTGGGTTCATCAGGCTCCCTGCGGGGCAACCCCATGCATCAGCAAACTCCTTTGAGTTCGAGAGTGTCCCAATAACTCTAAACCTACTGGGGCTGTGAACTCCGTCCACCACACGTGACTTGAGAGCCCCTAGTGTTGAGTTTCCACACCACATCTGTAAACAATATACAAACATTTCTTAAGCTTTCATGTGGTGTGTCTCGAGGGGCTGGAGGCTGAGTCATGGAGATTTTGTCTGATGTGAGGGTATTTCCTTAAAAAATGTATGTGAAGCTATTTTGGTTTCATTAGTTTAATATATTCAACACTGAACTACTTCAGTGTTTTGTGTAATATTATTACTGAAATCAAATAAGTGACATGGGGCAGAATATGGATGGAGAGAACTTAGAAGTATTCAAAATGTGGTAACAACCTGAAATGAAGACAGATGGGAAGGAACAGGTGATCTGCATTCATCTGGTTTTAAATAGATCAAATTGTGTGTTTTTGTGAGGATGGCGATGATCCATAAGAGGGCATTTCTTGTACAGGGGCAGTGGAAAATTAATGTACTTCAACCAACAAAATGAGAGCACACAATATATGGTAACTCTTTTCCCACTGAAGTTAATTCTGTTTGTGTGTTACTACAATATGTGGTTGTGGGTGATGATGCTGATGTTTCGGAGGTATATGCTTCCTCCATCTTCAGGGTCGATCTTTGTATTGTCACGTATTGGGTGTATAACGTGACAAATAACTTCACGCCATATTGGATATAGCAAATTTATTCCACTCGCTCTTACAATCACACCATTTACAATCTCACAATTACTGCCATTGGCAGTATCACAAATACTCCGGTGAAAGATAGACAGCATTGACTGGTTACTCTTTCTCTAGTAACTGGCTCAATCCTCACTACTCAATAACTAATCACTCACTAACTAACTGACTGACTGAATACTGACTAACTACTCACTCCCTGGCTAACTCATAACTAACTGTTGAATAGTGTTTGCTGCTCCTTATTTAGCCTCGTTATGGACAACACAGAAAACAGTTACATAATAGGTACCATTGTTGCATAACGTTGTGTTTACCGACTGCCTAGGAACAGTGGTTGCACAGACTCCCCGCTGTGTTTACAAAGGCGTTGCTGGGCAACGCTGCCGGGAGTTGTTTATGGCTACGTAGCAACTGCGGCATCCCGTGTTACATCACCGCGGCAATGGTTGCCTGGTGATGCCGCTCCGCTGCCACGTCACTGCAGGAAAGGAGGTGTTTACTGAGTGTTGCACACATACCCCAACGGAGTTTGGGTATGTGACATCACTCGTGAGATCACAGAGTTCACGCGACCCCCACCTCCTGCTACGCCATCCACATCACATTATTGATGAATTTCTGTGTATATATACACACTTTGACTCTGAAGATGGAGGCAGCAAGTACCTCTAAAACGTTGGAAACATTGCCTACAACCACACAGCATAGTAACACAAGAACAGAATTAATTTCAGTAATTACCAACTGTGAAAGACTAGAATCAGTAATATTTTACCATTTTCACATCAATTGGATCAGTTCTATGTCACCTGAATCGAGCAATTAATTTTAACATTGTTTCCCACTTGTATCCCTCATGAATTCCTAGTGTGGTCTGCGAGTAGCACTGGCACTCTGTTTCGAAGTGTATTTTAGTCTTCACTCCCAGTGACCATTCCACCAGCATTCCATACCCATCTGTCACCAGCATCTAGTACAAAAGACCCATTTGAAACTGTTGTACCAAGGAACTCAGTCTCACCCCACTCTTGTTCTTATTATTTATGTATGTCACATGTTCACTCTGTTTGAGTCCTCTATCAACTATAACATGAATCTTGCACTCACATGTGCGAAGCCAAGAAAGAAGAGCTGTTCAGGTGAATATTGTGAGAGACCTGGTAACAGCTGCTCACCCGGAATTCGGCTCCGGAATTTGTGGTATGCCCTGAGTGCCTCACGGAGGCCACCATTGTCTGCAATGTTCTCACCCTGCGTGTTGATACCATTTACCTGGAACACACAAGACATTAGTGCCTGTCAAGAGACTGTTACTGTGTGAAAAAATAATCCACTAGTGACTCACTGTAAAGTTCTCGCCGAGTTGTGATACGTTGTACTGACTGTATTGTTCCACAATACACTGTACACGATGCTCGTACTCTTGTAGTGTGTCCTCAGTCCACCATTGCTTGAGGTTCCCATCCTTGTCATAGCGACGACCTATGGAGGCACCAATTACATCAATGCGTCAAGTGATTAACAAAATAGTTAACCAACAGAATATGAAAGTAACAAAGTTTCTGATGGTGTGACTACTTAAATATCAAACTAATTAACTGACTATGAAAGTAACTAATCAACTTATTTGCTAGGTGTCTGACCAACAGACTAGCTTGTTATCAAAACAAATGCATCATGCAGGATCTTGTTTGAGCAATTTGTAATTATTTTGCCAACTGAGAAATATATTTGTTATGTCACCGGTAGAGTCATCACCATCATGAAAAAATGCCACCATTTGACCTGACCATAAGTTTCAACTAATTCACATCCCACCAAGAACGATGTTACAAAGAATTTAAGGACAAATTAAGGAAAAATGGTATATTGAGATAAAGGTATAACCATAAGCTTTATTAACTATATAACGAACCAGGTAGAGTGAATGAGATTAGAGTGGTAGAGATGGCTGGGACACCTTTTTAGAATGAAGGGGCAGAACCCTTGGAAAAAGTTAACTCTATGTAAACGAACCAGAGGGTACTCAATGAGTAGGCAGACCTGCTGTCAGGTGGCTGGTTCCAGTTGAAAAAGATCTGCAGACAGAGGGGGTTAGAAATTGGAGATGAAAGTCATACGATCGAGACCAATGATGAGCAACCATATAAGAGGCCAAGGTTTATCATGGACTGTTACCACCAGCAGAAGAAGGGAGGAAGAAGAAGGAGAAGAACTTCAATGTTATCCTGTGCAGATCCCAGTCACAAGAATATCTCCAGGTAATCTGCTAATTAGAACAAAATATATATTTGTTTCTCGATGCATACACCCAGAGTCACATCTGCCTTGATTAAACAAGGCTAAAACTATGTTGTTTTATATATGAAGCTCTTAGTTGAGATGGCAGTCCCATGCAATATACAGTGAAACCATCTAATTGTGTGCAATCCACTCACCTTGATCGTCAAAACCATGGGTAAGCTCATGCCCCATGATGGCTCCGATGGCTCCATAATTTAGGGACCTGCAATTGATAAAATCACAGCCACATGTTCAAACATCTCACATAAAATTTAAGTGTCATGTTGGCAGACACAATGGGTCTGAAGGGATTGTGCAGCAACTGCAGCTAAGTTAATCTTTGTCTGCAATTGTAATGCGTTTAATAATGGGATTCAGAATAAGGAACTTTAATGAATCATGGTATTTTTAGATGTTATTCTGAATTTATAAACTGTATGCGAGATATATCCAATTTGTTCATGCTCTACAGTATCAAATGAAAGCCTATAACTTTAAAACACAAAGACAGGAAATATTTACAAAACAAAAAGCATCTGTTATTAAGGTGCTGTATACTTTTCATATAAAATATATTTGTTAAACATGTGTTGCAGTTCCACAGCTCATATTCCACTGTATATTACAGACTGATGCTTAACAAGCTGGTACCAAATTACAGATTAAACAAGTAACTTCCGTTATGGGCTTCAAGACAATTTTGAGACACATTTCAATGTCTTTTCACAGCTGAGGAACTATTTCACAGCCCTGATCAGCCTTAAATTATTTCCTAACAAATATGAAGTAGCTAATAGAAGCTTGCCTATCAAAATGGAGGCTACTTTTGTTTCAAATTAGTATAAAAACGAGAATCAAGTATGGATGGAAAATTTTAACTTACTCAAGTCCTAAACCATAAAATGGAGGCTGAAGAATTCCAGCAGGAAATGCTGCAATAAAATTTTAAAATAGTTAGTATTAGAATTGAAAAAATAATATATCTAAGACATTTAAAAACTGTGATATGGTAGATATGGTTACTCACTGACTGAATTGAGGATGGGGGAGTAGAAGGCATTGACAGTTGTGGCAGGTGTCACCCATCTGAAACAAGTCATTATGAGGTCATAGAGACACAGAGAGAAAGAGAGAAAGAATTCTAGAAGGGAAATACATGAAGATTCTTAAACATTCAGGATTTAAGGTTATTACAGCAGTCAGTATGAGTATTACTACAATATTTTGGGATATGAAGCTGTGTAGTCTTGCAGAAGCTTACTTGGTTTACTCTCTGAGCCTGAGTATGAAGACAATACAGTCATCTGGAAAACTGATGACCTCCTACTAAACTACACACTGTCACATCCCAGAACACAGCACTCTCAAATACTGTGAAAAATTCAATATACACTTCAACTTCCAATTAATGCTCCCTAATTTAAGATTCATCCTCAATTAGTGTTTAATTTAAATGATCCCAAGTCAGTAAGATATTCCTACTTTCATATTTAAATCCACTGCTCCAGTAGAAACCTTCAATAGAGCTTCACTGTAATTAATTCCTTTCACCAGGTATCAAAGTATTATGTGGCCTGCTTCATCATTCTTCCATCCTCCCATACACATATCTGTGTATGTTCCACTAATGAAAGGATATCAACTCCGTCCTGTGAGATTGATAAATGTTTTTTTTCTCTCCTTTTTAATCTTTCATCCTTGACATGTTTCGGTCTGTTGTATAACAAAACAGCGCGGCCCAAACAACAGGACAACACTAATATTCTTGAAGAAAGCAGTCTTCTGGGATGTGGCACCGTGTAGATACTGTATTAACTGACATTTTGGAGGAACATATCACCTCCATCTTCAACATTAGTCTATTTGCACCTGCTCACGCTGGTTCTTCACTTGCACATTTTTACTTTTTTTCTTCTACCCTGAAGATGGAGGCGATATGTTCCGCCGAAACGTGGGTTAATACAATATCTACATGATGCCACATCCTGGAAGACTGCTTTCTTCATAGTCACCACTGTGAAAACCTCAAATCTTACACTAAATATTTTTGTTCATGGAAGAACAGAACTACAACATGGTAGACACTCAACTTCCTTTAAAGAGAGGCAGTATAGAGGACATGAACCAAATGGTTCTAAATTTTAACAAAGGCTTTTTAAACCACACTTTTAAATAAACTAGTTACAATAATTTATAAATATTTTCATATATTCATACACATCACTGTAGTTGTTAAAGGATCAGATTTCATGACATTGTAATGATACTGTATGTATGTATTGATATGGGCCAATCACATTGTAATAATAGTTTCTGCTTGTACTGATATATCCTTCTCTAGATAGTCACTCCGACCAAAACATGTCAAGGATGAAAGATCAAAAAGGAGAGAAGAATATTTATCAATTACACTGGACGGAGTTGATAACCTTGTATAATACTGCTAGTGTGACAGACCAGGATGAACCAAATCAAATGTTCTACTTAGCTTTGCATAGTAACAACATACATATCTATGTACTGGCTACCTACTCCCCATCAATCCAAGCTACCTGTTGTAATCTGGAGCCTTGCGCAAATCCTGAAGTGCTGTTTTGACTGACTCCTCTGACAATCTGAGGTATGTCTCGAACAGCAATCCATCCACCACTTCTGCCTGAAATATGAGCATGTCTAATTGGTACCTTGACATGAAGAAGGCACATGCATGGCATGCCATCAGAAACCACAGCGCCACTCACCCCCTCATAGTACTTCTCCAGCTCACCAGGGGTCAGAAGCCAGCCAGGGAATCCTATGAATGGCCTCATTGCATGAGCTTTCTCCAGAGTTCTTTCCTTTGTTTCAGTGTCCATCCAGTCCAGCTCCATGACAATCTCGGTAAAGGCAGTCCGAATGTCATTCACCATCTCCAATGCCTGCAATGCCAATGGTTTTTACTGTGCTGGATAAATTGCATAACTCTTCTCCTCCCTAGTGACTGCGTCTTGAGTACTTTCTGATTCCTTAACAGTTCTGGACTTGTATCACTGCAAGATAGCCCTACACTGAAGTAATTAGATCTATCCTGCTTTGGCAACACAACCAGAATGTTCACTGATATAACTGAAGAATCATGCCATAGAACTGCATCCTGAGCCTTCTCACATTATTGCAACTAACTCCCTAAGGTACACTTTAATATTATCCTGTTACATATAAGTGATCATTATCTTGTTTCATTATGTTTCCTGATGGAACTTCGATATGCATGAAAAATCAAACACCTATGACCTTAGTGCCATAGTTTCCATCCATTCTAGGTTCAGATCTTTCGGTGCACTGTTTTGAAATATACTGTATCTGATACACTTCCTTCATGGGATTAACAACAGTTCTGAACCAATCAATAAAACATAATTTCCCAAAATTTATCCTCCTCTAAATCTCATCATCATATTAATTTGCTACTTGCACATATAAAACTCTGACATAGTAAACTTTTGCAGAATTAGTGTAAAAATTGCACTTTTGATATGGTGTTTCTGGCAGGTTGCAGCAAATTATTTGTCTTGCATTGTTTCAAATTCCCTTCTCATGTCCTAGGTTATATATATGAAGATGGGGAAAAAGTAACTGCCAATATTATCTCTCAACTATCTCTAAGAAGCACTTATATGTACGGCCAAATTCATCCACAGAAGTTTAAAACATTTTTTTTTTCATACTATGAAAATATCCAACCTGACAGTGCTACCATAAATTCTTGACTGTGAAAGGGTTCAGCACTGTCTTAAAGACAATTTTGTTTCACAATAATTTCATATGATGGGTACAAACCTTTTCTCTGGACTCGTTGTTGAAGTGTTTCTGCACATACAGATAGCTAACAGCCATACCAAAATTTGAGTTCACATTTCCAGTGCAGCCTTTCCACCTGCAATTACAAATGGTACATCGTATTATTGTGCACTAGGAAATATGTTTCCCACTTAACACTTTTAAGCTTGGTTGTAGATATGTCATGCAACTGTTCTCATGCATTCAGTGCTTCAGTGAGCCCCAGCCTAGCATCCTAAAAAATCACTGGGAGCACACTGAAGAACATATCATTGTTATTGTATTTTAAAATTCCAGCATTTACTTCAAGAGACTGAGGTGAAACAAAACCACAATCAAGAGAGCTGGCACTGTGCTTGACTTCTGTTGTGCCTCATAAATAGCGGTAATGGCAGTACTAACAAGATTAAATTCACCTGGCAGTTTTCTGCTGCAATCCAAAGACTCTCTGGCTGAACCGAAAGGCAAGGTCCCGAAACTCTTGCAGTGTGAGCGGTGCTAATGTTGAAAAAACACTCCACCACACAAACCGCTCTGTGGAGAAAATGAACACCATTATAAAATGATACAGTGGAGGAATCAGGGCAACAGACACAAATGAAATGAGAATTATGTACCCCATAACATAACCAAATAGAAGCAAGGGAAACAATAGGTAAAGTAGTACAGGCCCTGGAAAGGGATAATTTCTACGTAAAAACAAGGGAATGCAGGAGAGAAATCATACAGATGGGGACAGTTGGATGTACCAGAATGAAATTGAGAACAGAGAGAAGTCTTATTGTTATGTAAAAGATTGTGAACAATATGGAGAGAAGTCTTATGGGTGGCTAAGATTACGGAGAGAAGCCATATGGGTGTGAGATTAGGGGAGAGAAGAAGACTTATGGGTGTGTAGCCTTATGCCAGTGCAAGATTAAGAGAGAAGCCTTATGGGTGTGAGATTATGGAAAGAAGCCTCATGGATGTGTTACATTACGGAGAGAAGCCTCATGGGTGCGTAGCATTATGGAGAGAAGCCTTATGGGTGTGTAAATTACGGAGAGAAGCCTTATGGGTGGCCTTATGGGTGTGTAAGTTACGGAGAGAAGCCTTGTGGCCTTATGGGTGTGTAAGTTACGGAGAGAAGCCTTATGGGTGTGTAAAAGATCACGGAGAGAGGCCTTATGGGTGTGTTGCAGAGAGAAGCCTCATGGGTGTGTCAAAGATCACGGATAGAGGCCTTATGGGTGTGTAAATTATGGAGAGAAGCCTTATCGGTGTGTAAAAGACTGAAAGGATTGCGCAGAGAAGTAATATAAGATAACAGACTAATGACGGAAAGCGGGGGAAGTCGTACGAATAAAATATTAAAGAAAAATCAGGGACAGTTTGACAGAAGTTGTATGAATGAACATAACAAAATGGAAGTAACGAATACAATAAATAAAGTAGTAGAGACCCTGGAATGGGACAGTTTCTATACAAAAACAACTGGCGAAGGAGAGGTTATAAATAGGGCGTGGTGGGTGTAGCGGACAGAAATCGAGAACGGAGAGAAGTCTTATGGGTGTATAAAAGATTGAGAGGATTATGGAGAGAAGTCATATGAATATGAGATAAAGGATGAATGATGGAAAGCGGGTGAAATGTCGTATAATTAATAAATAAAAAAAATAGGGACAGCTGGAGAGAAGTATGAATGAGGGAAGATGGGTGAGAAACAGTAAGAGAACATAGGAAAATGATGGAAAGCGGGAAAGAAGTCGTAAGGTTTTATACGAGGGTAAAGAACGTGAGGGGATGAGAGGTCTTGTGAGTGGCTTATATAGAAGGCAACAAAAAGAAACCTGAAGGATGGAACTCTCTTTCCATCAATGAGTAGTTTTGGACTTGCAAACTCATAATGATTTTACAACGAACATAAATCATGCCATGACTCCCACTGGGGCCTAAAACCTAGCATGAAGATGCTTGCAAGGGCCAACAGCAATGTAGCTGCATGGAAAGCAGCAGCAGAGGCAATTCAAGCTGATGGGTGCCATCAAAAAGAACAGTGTGCTCAGAGCGAAGGTCCTGGTGGATAACCCAGTCATGAGAATCATATGCAGGAGGCTTCTTATATTCCATCAAGGGGTAGACAAGAAGCAGTTTCCAAAACTTGCTTAGGCAGAAACCATCCCCTCTGTTCAAGTTGTTGTGATGGAACTCAACAGTAGAAGATAGCGCTCCTGATAACAAATTAATTTCTTAGTCTGCCAGCAGATGGTACTCACCAAGCGTGTCCTGGTCAGTGATGGACACCAGTGCTGCCAACTTCTGCAGGTAGGCGATATCCATGACAACCAAGTGGTCGCTATCATAGTCAAGTGTGACATTGGTATTGTCCAAGATATAATCTAGATATCTTGTCCAGTTCAGCTGTAAGTACAACAAAATTTGTGTCTTACTGACCTACTTATGGACTACTTAAATAAGCTACTGATTGACTAACAGACTACAAAACAAACTGACAGACTTGACCAAGAGGGTCAACCCTTCCATAAGGTACAGTTCCTCATTTTCCACAACCCAATGGCCAGCCTGTTTGCTCGTTTCACGAACTCCAGTTCAAAAGCCTTCCTATTGAACCAATCTGATGCCCTCTTGATCTTAAGACACAGCTGCCATCTTGTGCCTGGGTTCTTTATTCTCTTGTTGCCTCATATCTCCTGTCCTAGGCCTCGGCATCTTACACCATTTTTTTGTTTTCTGGGCCCTTCCAATATCCAGGTTTCTTGTACCACACTGTCCTGGTCATGTCTCTTGCAACTGTGTCCCCTACAACTTTTGTATCTCACTGCGGGTGAGAGCCAATTGCTTCCACAATCCACAATTTCACTGCATCCCTTGCATCGTGCCACTGCTGCATGATGAGACACCTTTATGTAGGCAGCAGTCAACTACCTTCGGGATCCAGTCTCCTCAGGGCACTTCTTTTGACTCTCTTCGTCACCCTGCTGCTAGCTGCCATCCCTACGCTGCTTCTTCCACCCTCTGACTGGTTTCACTATGGTATCTTCCTTTGGAACCTCTTGATGCTCTGCTGTACTCATTCTCCTCTGGTTTTGCCAACGACTCCATGGACTCCGATTTTCCAAGACAGGTCATCATCCTTTCCTGATGGTCTCCTAACTCGGCATTCTTTGCGTCTAACTTGACTATCATCCATTCTTGGATGGCTTTCATTTCGGCCAGCATTTTCATCAACTGCTGCATCTCCATAGTATGGCGGTATAACTTCTTACTGTGGTCTTCAGCCCAATAATTTGATTAATTTGATCCACTCCATCCCACTTCTGACACCAGTTGTCACGTTATTAGTGACTAAATTTGGGTTTCGGATTGGTAACTGTATTTATTGACCACTTACAGGACATAACTACAAATAATTATAACATTGTTACTTATTTTCAGACTACAAAGCACTCTGCACTTATCTTTACAGTCTCTCTACACCCGTCTTCACACATCTGTAACACAAGAAGTATAAAAGTCTCACTAAATTACACACTACACACTACAGTGCACATAAAGTCTCCAAATCACATGTTAAGTCTTCACAGGCTGACATTTCGTACTCTTCTAGCTTACTGTTTGCTTGCTGCACTCCTCCAGCTTATTGCTATACTCTGGTCGCTTACTTGCTCGCTCTCTCACTGCCCACTTCTTCAGAATCTGCTCACTTATGAAGACGCAGCATGGATACACCTCACAGAAAACATGTCACGTGATTCTATGCACTGTTGTGTGACATCACAGCACATGTGTCAGTTGCGTGGACAAAAATAAAATAAATCTCATGTGACCACTACCTACTATTTTGTGACATCACCATGGACACAAACAAACCATAACTTCCCCTATTGTTGCATGTGCATATTTCGGGCTTGGCCTAGGGATGACGTCCTTCTATTGTGTGTTGGAACATGTTTACAGAGCTGCGGCCTGGCAATGGGGATTCACATTAAAATATGTATACACTGAATGTGGGTATTAGTATGAAAATTTAAATTAAAAAGAGATCCCCACTGGAAAACTCATGTCAAAACTATTCTGATAGATATCATAGACATAAGGAGAGAGGAAAGAGCTGGCAAGAAATTGTAAAGGTAAAAGACAGAGTGAAGACTTATGCTGGAATGTTGACAATGGTGATGATACTACTACTATTACTAATTATTATTATTACTATTATTATTGTTCTAATTACTACTACTACTGCTACTGCTAATACTACTACTACTACTACTACTACTACTAGTAGTAGTAGTAATTAAAAGAACAACAACAGTAATAAGAATAACAACAACATAGAAAAGGAAGAGTGGGGGAGGCGTGACCATGTACAGGGGTTTCTTCATGATACAGCTCACCAGTAAACTATGAAATCACACAAGTTTTTGTACCTTTGTGTTAAGACTATCCTCCTCCTCTCTGAGGTCTGTGAGGTTCTGGAGTGTGAACACTGACATTTCATGAAAGAGGTTCTTGGTGTCACGCCGCACCTCAGCAGGAGTCATGATCTGTGGAGACATGAACCCACATTCTTGTGGTTGTAACTATCTATCTGATTGATATGTAGTGTTAAGTAAGGGGCCATGGCCTAATTTAATAGATAGCTCTATACATGCCTTGCAGGACTAATGAAAACCTGTGACACAGTTTCCACAGCAGTTTTCAGGATCAATATTTGAACATGGTCACAGTGCTGACAACTGTATTGTGTTGCAGTGTATCTACTCTCATGATAAGCTTTATAGGTAATCATTCTTCATTCATATTAGTCACACTGTACACTTGTATTCTGCATGTCTGCTGGGTAACTGGTTCCTCAAGCTTTTCATTAGTTTCTGTAGGCAAATACTGGTGCAGCTCTCAGTTGCCTGCTTACAAACAATTTTCTGTAGCACATTTCAGGGAAGAACAGCACTGAGCATAGCCCACTATGAGCCTAAGCCTTCTTGTGAAAGTACAGCTCCAGCATTAGGTGGTCACAAACTGAGAGTGTCATGCCCTGGTCACAATCCCCCAGCACCTACTAGAGAGAAGACTGGGTGTGCTCTGTAGCTGTTCTGGATGTGGTGGTGAACAAAGAAATCTCAGCCCATGATAGGAGCCAAACATTCACGCTGTATGCCTAATCACTAACATGTGCTATGTACTGGTACCAACTATTTTAAAACATGAACTGTTTTTAAAAAATTTAATTCAGTTTAATACAGTCTTAAATCTAAACTAAGAACTAAAGTACAGCAATACAAAACCGATTTTGCTATTGTGTGGCCAACCAAGTGTTGAGTCAGAGATGAAAAAACAACAAACTTAAATCTGAGGACCTGATAATGTGTTGCTTAGCCAGGCCTATGTACACCACAGGGGGCAGTTGAGCAATGTCAGAACGATGAGTAGGGCATAAACCGAAGAAACTTGAAAGGACACCTGCTCCAGTAAACCTTTGTCTACCATAATCCCTCAGTAAGTCACCGAGATTTGGACCTGAGGATCCATGTTGCCATTCTTGCCTACAAAGTCACATTGAAAGCTTAGTCCACACTGTTCAGTGCAACCATACAGGACATAATTTCACTGAAATCCATTCAGTAACTTATTTTGATGATGAAATTAGGTGACACAGAAATGGACACAGTCCCCTGTTGTCAGGTCATTTTATTTACAGATGATCTATTTTGGCCTGGCTATCTACTGATCAACAGGCTGTATACTCACTGCAGCCAGCTGTGTGCTGAATTGGAGAACATCATCCGCAAAGAGTGTGGCATTGTGAGCTGTAGAGTTGGGCAGGTGATCCTGAAACACTTGCACCATGTCCCGGATGTAGCTGTGGTACTCAGTCAATTCTGTTTGGAATCGTGCAGGGTCCAGCAGGTAGCGTTCACTGATGCCGGGCGAGATCTGATCAACCTATATACACAAATCTTTCTTGTAATATGTGTCACTGCCTTTGGCAAGAACTTCAGCAAGCTGTGTGGAAAAATCAGGGAATATGGACAATGGATGAGGCAAGAATGGTAATTAAAATGTTTGCAATAAGTCAGGAGGTAGAAGAAAAGTGGGAAGTCCCAGACTGAGAGGGCTGAGAGATGTAGAGAATGATTTAAGAGCATGTACATCTGCCACAAAGGAGGCCAAAATTCTCAGAGAACTGCAGAGCAAAGGAGTAAGCAACAAAGTATGCACAGAACTACATGTGGACAGTTATACTCACTTGTGTATGAATAACTGACTAATAGAGGGCCAACAACTCACCACCATGAGGTTGCGTGACGTATTACGAACATCCTGGCTGACCCAGAAGCCCACCATTATGTTGAGACCTAGCATCCTTTGTGCCTGCCCCACTGTCTGCAGCCAATCAAATGGCTGTCCAGAGGGAGGGACACTGCTGGTGCTGAGTCCTAGTTTCTGCAGCACAGTCAGCATGGGCTCAAGGCCTAGTGCCTCCAGCTTGTCTGGAAAAGAAGTACACAACACACAATGGACAGGCTCCATTTTGCTTCTGGCCAACATGAAGCCCATTGCTGCAGGACTGGCTTACTTTGCTAGCAGATCAAGTAGCTACTTTAGAAACTGCACAATTATAAACAAAATGGAGAAATGTTTATTGAAAATTAAATGAGAATCTCTGACATGATTTCACAGACTATGCAAGCTGTGAACTTGAAAACTTCTTAACCCTTTGACGTCGTCATTTAAATTCCGCTGCCGTGTCTCTCCGGCAGTAATATATTCAGCCGTCCATTTAAATTTTGCTCGAAAATGATTTATTCATCATTGTTCTTAAATTATATGAGATAGGATCATGAAACTTTCAATAAAATGATCTTAAAAGGTGGTTTTATAACCTTGCCTTATAATATGAGCGCCCGTTATCTCGGCAATGGAAGCAGTTGGTTTAGAATTTGAGCAGTGTATCGTAAGCCTTGAAGCATGAAACTTTCACTAAAATGATCTTAAAAAATTGTTTTATAACTTTGCCTTATAATATGAGCGCCCGGTATCTCGGTAGTGGTTCAGATTTTGAGCGGAGTGTTGCACGCATTGAAGCATTCTACTATACACAGCGCTGACTCACATCACCATACCAGTACTGCGTATCTCTCTCATTTGGCTCTTTTTCCGTAAACAAAACATCTTCTGTGCGGCCTTGCCTTCCCCGTGGGGGGAATATAAGAAGAAATGTCTCTCCGTGAGTCGTATCGCTACCCAGATTAGCTGCAGTAAATTCAACCTTTATGTTATCATAACAAGTGTTGGTGCTTCTGCGTTTCATTTTCCATCCATTTTGGCGGCATAAGACGTCGTAGGGGTGACCACAGAATTCATGAAGTTATTCTAAGAACTGGCTGGTATGTAGTGCATGAAAGCAGAGCTGAACTGGCTCAAAAAAAATATTTATGGCCATCCCTCGAAACGACCACCAAGGTCAGTACGATAAAATGGAGTCAACTGGAGCGATAATACATGAAGGAATGCGTTCTTTTCCCCCCACACACACACACACCCATCGTCACAGGGGGTGACCACAGTGTTCTGCCTTAATTTGTGGCGTTTTTCTAAGAACTGGCTGCCATGTACTGTGCGAAATCAATCGATGTTGGAAGAATAAATTTTGGATAACCCTCTTCTAAGAATTCCAATTGAGTGTGTTATTGTGGCCAGCTCAGGGCAATATGATATTATAAACACAAGCACATATCATGTCTCTGCTGTTTATAAGTTCATAAGAAACAAAACAGGGTTTTCATGACAGGAGAACGGAGAAACCTCTCCCAAGAGCAACAGGAACTTTGCTGCAAGACAGGCATATGTAACGATGACTTGGCGCAGATAAAGTCGTGTCTTATTTATACTCTGTTCTACTGACAACAGGCCAGCGAAAAATCTAACAATCTACAGCAAAACCATCAATTATTATGGGCGTTATAACGTAGGTGTGCAGCTGGACGAAACATACACGTCGAACCCCCCCACATGATTTAAATCCCTGACGAAACATACACGTCGAACCACGGCAACGGTTAACAGACAGCTTGACAGAATGAGCACAATATTAACAATCTTGAGGTCTCTTTATTTTTGCCAAAATTTGATATTACACCAACTGAAAGCACTGCAATACTGACTGAAACATGTCATTTACTGCTGCTAACTTCTGTATCTATCATAACTGAGATCAGCCTTTTATTTGGTTTCCGTTCAAATGACAAACTTACAAACAATGACAAACACTGCCCTGTTGAGACTAGTTATGAGTTCACACAGAAGACACTCTATGAAGAGACAAAGAGTATTAAAGTGGCCAAAACTGTCCTGTAATGGCAACTGAACAAAAGTCCTGATATATCGAAGTACCTACCTGTGTCTAGACACACTCGGTACAGCATTCTAGCCTGTTGGACTGGCTTCACATCATCCTCAGAACCCTCCTCTTCCAGAAGTGCTGGATACAAAGAACAGGCAGTTCTCAATTTAGTATTCATATTTGCCCTATATTTACTCATTTACGGGGTCAGTGGATGACACTAGGTAAAACTGACTTCATCAAAAGTCAATTCAGACACACCATGATTTTGGAACCATGCAAAACTGCAACACAAGGCATCAACGTCTCTATTCTCATCCTGTCATATATATATAGAATGACCAATGTTCCTAACCTCTGAAGTATGTGCATAGCTCAGCCATTAAATCATACAGTCGAGAAACAACAGTGGGAAGCAGTGTCTGGCATCTCAAGCATTACATGGAAAATGTTGGCATTTAGGGTAAGAGCTGATGCGTATGCAAGCTTGACAGTTTTCAATTGAAGAGTAACAATATTGATGCATTGCACCTCTGAGCTGGACAAGCAGCTGTTCCCGCAGAGCTCTGAACTGGTCCCATGTGCTCTGCGACTCGGGCACTGGGTGGTGGCTGATCCAACCACCGCATGCAAACTGGTAGAAGTCCTCGCATGGGTCTGAGTCCCTGTCAATACTCTCCAGTATCCGCGCAGCTGAAACAAGTACCAAGCAGATGTTCAAATGAGCAAAATTCCTGTAAAACATTTTAATATTATGAAGAAAGCAGTCTTCTGGGATTTGGCACCGTGTATATGTGGTGCCAAATCCCAGAAGACTGCTTTCTTCATAGTCACCGCCGTGAAAGCCTCAAATCTTACACTTTAGTATTGTTCTGCAGTCTATGCCCAGATCGTCCAAGAGTGTGTGTGTGTTTAAATGCTATGCCATGTGGATGTATAGGGGAGGTGGAGGTGCAGTAGTGGTGGTCTGTCATCTTGAATGCAGTTGTGAGTTAAATTAAAGAGCTGTCATCTCAGAAGAACAAGACAATTCCATGTTTAAAGGCTGCTGAGCATACAAACTGCAGACTGCAATCCCAACTGAAATATAAGGATCTCTTAGTCCTTACTGCCTGGCTGTCTGTCCTATCCATAACTAGTAATGACCCCAATACTATGACAGAATATGGAAAAAATGGCAGGACTTAGACTTGTGTCTGCATCTACGTCTGTGTCCACGTCTGCATCCGTGTCCGTGCCTCTGTGTGTGTGTGTGTGAATTTATGTCACAGATTGCTTTAAGATCTTGTAATTGTGAATTCCTTACCTGACCGGACACACTCTTCTGTCAAACAGCTAGTGGCCACCAATCTGTGCTGTGACTGTAACATCCTCTCCTCGGCCTTCATGTCTGAAGCAGAGTACATTCAGAAACCAGATAAAATGGCGTGGTTATGAAAAGTAAATATGTTATATTCACATGTAAATTTTATAACTGAATAGGAACTGGCATTGATGTAGTACTCAGAGATCTAACCGCACTTCCCTTCCACACATTTGTGGCATGATGCTTTTTGCACAGAGAAAAACCTGTCCTAAATTACTTGCCTATGATGAACTAATCATCATAGGATTGAACAGGTAAGATATTCAGACAGAGTAAGGAACAATATGAAACAAGTTAAGCAGTTATTCTTTGTGACAAAAGTTAACTCATTACATGAAAATCATGCTGGACATTGCCCTTTGTCTGGGATATACTTCATATACACATAGTTTTGGAAACTATCATTAGGTATAAGTGGGTCCATTAGAAGGATCTAGTCCTGATCTCCAGGCAACTAAAGAAGTTCTAACTAGAGTATGTATTCCACTGCCACCAGATATAATCATCTTGAGGTAGGAATGCACTAACAAATAGTGTATACCAATAACAGCCCTACCCAGACAAGGGACAGTGAACAACGCAACATAAGCAAAGCAGCAGCAACCACAGTCTGATGTGTGTGTGTGTGTGTGTGTGTGTGTGTCCAACATGGATGCTGGTGGGGCGAGAGAGAGAAGATAGGGTTCTTCCCCCATCACACATATGTAGCTGATTCCAAAAGTAAGGTCTCCAAAGCGCTGGGTAATTTTTCGTGCGGCTGTTGGCAACCCTGTTGCATTCGTTGCTTCCCCACTCACCCCAATACCACCAAGCATGCGCGCACGTAGCTAGGACGCTCAGTTTTGGCACGGTTGCCGTTAGAAATGGAGCTCCCGATTACTAAAACCGAGAAGTGTGAGATTCGCGCAGTTATTCGGTTTTTGAACGCAAAAGGGACTAAACCAATTGAAATGCATCGTCAATTGGTGGAAGTGTATGGCGAGTCGTGCATGGACATAAAGAACGTCCGCAAGTGGTGTAGGGAGTTTGAATCTGGTCGTACTGTAATACACGACGAAAAAAGAACTGGGAGACCGTCAATTTCTGACGAGACAGTCGCGAAGATTGAGCGAGTCATGCGTCAGGATAGGCGCATCACACTCGATGATCTCTGCATTTCGGTTCCCGAGGTTTCCCGAACCACCATTTATCGGGTTTTGACAGAGAAGTTGAATTATCGGAAGGTGTGCGCAAGATGGGTCCCGCGAATGCTCATGGAAGACCACAAACGGCAGAGAGTTGACTCTTCCCGTGAATTTCTTCGCCGCTATGCTGACGAAAAGGACAACTTCTTGAATTCAATTGTCACAGGCGACGAAACCTGGGCGTACCACTTCACACCTGAGACAAAACAACAATCACGTCAGTGGCGGCATTCCTCTTCGCCTAAGCCTCGAAAATTCAAGCAAACACAGTCTGCCGGTAAAGTCATGGCAACTGTGTTTTGGGATCGAAACGGGGTATTGTTGGTTGACTTTATGGAAACTGGGACCACAATAAACGCTGAGAGATATTGTGAGACACTGAGAAAACTCAGGCGGGCGATTCAGAACCGGAGAAGAGGGATGTTGAGCAAGGGCGTAAGCATTCTCCACGATAACGCTCGCCCCCATGCTGCCCGACAAACCGTCGCTCAACTGCAACAGTTTGGATGGAACATCATCACCCATCCACCCTATAGTCCGGACTTGGCGCCCAGTGACTACCATCTCTTTCCAAAGTTGAAAGAACATTTGTCTGGAAAGCGCTTCAACAACGACGATGAGGTGAAAGCTGATGTTCGAAGTTTCGTGAACAGCAGGGAGGTGAACTGGTATGACATGGGCATACAAAAACTGCCACTGCGCCTACAAAAATGCATCGACCGAAATGGCGATTATGTAGAGAAATGAGTACATGTTCAAGATGTATCCAAAATTGAAAATAAATGTTTATTTTATATTTTCAAACATAGGAGACCTTACTTTTGGAATTACCCTCGTATAAAAAAATTAAGAAATATATATACTTAAAATTAAAAGTGTTGAAAGCAATTCTTCCTTCCTGAATACTCTTGGGCAATCACTAAAAATAAACTTTAAACTGCCTGAACACAAGGCTTAACTTTCTATCTCAGGTTAAGTCCTGGTCATTGATTCTTATGGCTCCCCTAATAAAAAGGCAAAAAGGTAATGCTGTTCCTGTAACAGGCTGTGGAGGCCTATAGGGTTGTGAGACATCGAGGCTCCCACAGTTTCTAGACAATCAACTCACAGAGAGTGGTGAGACTGTACATACCCTGTACCCTTCAAGAAGATTCTTGGGGAAATATCCACTTCCCCAAATGTTTTCTCATTAAAATACTACATGATTTTCTTATTTTTGTCATCAAAGGCTACATTCCCTGCTCACCAAGCGATATTACTGGACTAGTTACACGATTCCGGTAGAATTTGTAATGTATCAATGTTAACTCTTAAATATTACTATGAATTCATCTGATATAAATAAATTAAAACTGGCAGAACAATCAAATTTTTATCAACTCCTGTTCTGATGCAGCCTGGGCTAAATAGTTGATGGAAACTGGCCAGACGCATGTAAACTGCAGGCCCGCCTCTGGTGGTAGTAACACGAAACCCTTCTCTCTCATTTGTGATGTACAGAAAGTGAAACATGTTATCTTTGAATGTCACAGTAAGAAATGATGTCAAATAGGCTTTATTATGGTAACAGCTGTCTGAACTGCGATTTCCGATATCATTTCCTGATGACGCCAAGGAACAGAAGAAAAAAAATACGAGATTACAAAGGAAAACGGCCTCTCGAAAGTAGTTCACTAATACACCGCAAGGCAGCATTGTCCTAGACACGTTCATTGCTTTCCGAGCAACTTGGTGGAAGTATCAATGTCTCTGAATTGCAATTCAGATAGTAACAGGTTCTAATCTCAGCTGATCCACTGTCTAACCTGACTGAGGTTTTAGGAAGACGTTTCTCAGTTCCTCTACGCAGATTCTGCGACAGTGCGCTAAATTGTGCCGTAAGTGTCTATGTGTGTATTCGCTGTCATCCAATCGTTTGATGCAATTTAGTGTTAATTATAGATAGCGCCCTTAAATTAAGTACCGCTGTTATGACTACAGCTTTATCAGCTATCTTAACCTAACCTGCCACCATTTCTTGAATAGCAGGTGTGAAAGTGAGGCATATACACACGTGTATCGATCTCCAGGGCCTCGTTTGTTAAAAAAAAAACTGCATAGGTCGCGTGAAAGCGACGCTAAAATTAATGTAAGCAGAAGCTTTACGGCAAAAGTGCAAACAAACGAAACTAATCTGTTTCATGCGGAAACAAAATGTGGCACTGCGAGAACTGATATGCACGTAGAATTTGAGATGCTTCCGCATGAATGGTCACCAAGAGAACAAAGTTTAAACTCACTGACTGTGGTGAGTACTGCCACCGCTGCCGCCAGCGCCACGACAGCCGTAGCGAGGAGAGCAATCACTACCACCAGCCGGGCTGAAGCCTGACTCCTGCAACAGATCAGAACATTGACTGTAGGGGGCCTTAATATACTCTGCACAAGTTCCTACGAACTGTTGAGCCAACCACGCAATCTCGGACTGTCCTCATCCACATGAATGAGCCATGTGCAACTGGCTAGTGCCAATTCTGTCCTTTACGCAATATTTTGGTGTAAGTCGAAACTGTCAGAGCCCACTCACGATACGTGGCCCGCGGGTTGAGTAACACAGCGTTCCAGCCGTTCCAGTCTACATGCACAAACCTTGGTCAGTTATCTGAGCGTACAGAAATATTCCGTTCAAGGCAAAGTCCATTTTCAGGCACAATTTTACCTGCGTCGCCGGCGACAGACCCGTCCACCGCCATGTTTAAATTTGCATTTTAAAAAAACTGACAAAGATTACAAGGATAAGTATTTGCCGCACTGAAGCTTCATGCTTTCAGCAGACCAGTTCTGGGGCTGAAGTAAAGCGGCCAGAACGTGCAGCTGATACAGCACCTCTATCTATGAGGAGGTGTTTAGACATCCATGAGATTGTGACTGTGAAGTATGCCGTAACTGTCTTCGGTATTTGCGTGGAACGACTGAGGAAAATTATGAAAACCCTCATCATGATAATCGGTGTCCTTGCCAAGATTCGAACTCGAAGTCTCCGAATAAGAAGTGACGCTCGGTAAACAAGTGATAACAGCCGCGAAGGAATTTATAGAATTAGTGCAAACAACGATCTGTAGTAGAAGTAGAAGAAGAAGAAGCAAGAACATGTCCAGATTGAGTTAGGGTCCGTACTTACCCGGTGCTGCCATCTGTTTGGTGGTGCGTGGCAGCTGTCTCGGGATCAGTCACCTGCAACAATGAGCACGGCCTCCCTCAACACTTTCTCCGTGTTATCACCTTCTTGAGCAGCTTTACCTTCAGATAGATTCAATCGAGTGAAAGCTAAAAACGTCACATCAAACCGTTCGACGATGTAACGGAAGCTGAAGGTTTGTCGCCGCGAACAGCGACTATTCTCTGTCTGAAGCTTCTCTGATGGTGTAGCCAACGTCATGGAAGAAACTTTCCCTGTGTTCAACGAAATCTCAGGTATGGCGGGTTTGGTTCGCACTGTTTGCTGAAAATGGGATCTAGTGATTTTCTAATGATAATGCAAAGCTCTGCGTTATTATCTTATGAAGACACGACCTGAAAAAACATTTTTGACACAGTCTGTCAGTTTATCTCACACTCCACAACGCAACAAGAGCTGCGATAGCTCAATCGGTATAGTTATGGGCTGGGTTTGATTCCCGGAACGGGCAAGAGATATTTTTTATCCAGTCTCCTATCAAATGGATAGAACGGGCTACATCTCCGAGGGTAAAGATGCTGGGATGTTAAGCGAACCAGTCACCTCCATATCGTGCCGAGGTCAAGAATTGTGGAGCTATACCTCCACTCCCCATACGTCTTCATGGTGTGCTGGTTAATTCAATAAGCACAAGATAATTTTACCGTTACCTACAAAGCAACTACTAACTCTGCAAGTCACGGAGGTAACTAGTGAATCCTTTGTCACTGGCACTTGTAAGTACTGTGCACCCCTTACCACCATGGCTCCAGTTTCAATGGAATGCCCACGTATCTAATGCTGCTATCCGGCAACGCCTCCTCAACATTTCCAGAGTAAGTTCCTTGCTTCGAAAGTGGGACTGCTACAGTCGGACTCCGGACTGAAGTCTGACCCGGGGACATGCCCAATTGTCAGCGGGAATGCCAAACTCTCGGTCCCAATATTCCGTTGAATTCTTCTGTACAGAATGTTCCTCCAATTACTTACACTTACTAAGCTTATGAAGATACTTCTTGTCGCCACATCTGCCAAGTGTTCATCTCCAAGATCACAACAATTGAACATTTGATCTCTCCTGAGGCACTCCAATATGCTTATTTTCTAACATCACAATAACAATGCAAGAGCTATCAGTCTGATTAAACCTAGACGTCCAAACCAACTGCGCGTGTTTCTTTGTTCGAACAATCGAACTAAAATTGATCTACTTCCATACCTGCTGTCACTGGCAGAGTATCAGTCAATAATTGCAGCAAGGAAATTCAAAACTCGAAGGATCATATCTCCAGTACGGAGAGCCGGTCTGGAGGTGGGGATGGCGCTGACCGGCACCCCCCCCCCTCTCAAGTGGCCTTATCAGATTCTGTCTTCCTACCAAATATCTCGAAGCATTCTTCGCTTCTTTCGCAGCCCATTTATGGCGATGTCAGTGCCTTGACTAAGTAACATCGATGGCAGGACGACCGTGAGACTGGAAACGATCTGGAAGGAAGCGGCCGTGGCCGAATCGAGGTTATATCCCGGCACTTTCCTGGAGGGACTGACGAAAATAATGATAAATATCAGAGAGGACATCCAGTGTTCCGACAGAGACTCGAACTAAGAACCTCCCAAATACCTTTAAGATATCCTGCTCAGTCATTTTAAAGAACTGAGATGGAAAATTAGACCCAAAGTCGTGTCTGTGTGTGTAACATCCCTCAGTCCCTACCTCAGAAGCAACAGATAACTGTATACATTAAAAGTAACGAGTTCTGAACCAGGGAAATTTTGTTGTGACGCTCATGAACATTATAACAGAAACAGGATTTTACTATGCCGCTATGTCTGTTGCTAAGACATATATATCTGTATTTCACAACGATACAGACATTCGATTCGTTTGTCACGCGCCACGAGTTTAACCTTCGTCACAATGGAAAACGACCCGTTACCACGGAAACATGCTGCAAGGTCTGACAACCTTCATCACAGATCACTGTCTTCTTTTCCTTCTTCATATAATTTTACAGGGACAATGTCATATCTTGTACCGATATATAAAGAACGGCCTTTACACATTATAGCGATGCTACATAACTTCCACATTTCACAAAAACGTGGATTACTTGAGAACATTCCAGATAATATCCCACGCCTATACTTCATGCGTACTCTCTAATTTCCTGATTTGTTTCTGGCATAATTTTTGTTATACTTGTATCCACGGCAGCTTGCTTTGCTTAGAGTCGAGATGTCATGTTATGCATCTTTTAAATAGTGACACTCGTGGCTATTTGAGAAGCCAGTTAATGCTCACTTGTGGCTACTGAAGCCGCAGTAGAAGTCAGTCATTGCTCATTTGTGGCTACTGAAGCCACAGCAGAAGCCAGTTAATGCTCACCTGTGGCTACTGAAGCCACAGTAGAAGGCAGTTAGTTAATGCTCATTTGTGGCTACTGAAGCCACAGCAGAAGTCAGATAATGCTCACTTGTGGCTACTGAAGCCACAGCAGAAGGCAGTCAATGCTCACTTGTGGCTACTGAAGCCACAGCAGAAGTCAGTTAATGCTCACTTGTGGCTACTGAAGCCACAGCAGAAGGCAGTCAATGCTCATTTGTGGCTACTGATGCCACAGAAGAAGCCAGTTAATGCTCACTTGTCGCTACTGAAGGCACAGCAGAAGGCAGTCAATGCTCATTTGTGGCTACTGAAGGCACAGTAGAAGACAATGAAGGCTCACTTGTGGCTACTGAAGGCACAGTAGAAGACAATGAAGGCTCACTTATGGCTACTGAATCCACAGTAGAGGCCAGGCCGTTACGTGCGCAATCTCGTGTTAAGAGAACGCGCGATGTGACTCGGATCATTCGAGTTAAAGCGAAAACGGTTTCCCTCCTTCCTCTGAAAGAAAATCTTACTAGCTCTGTGACAAAAGAAGCGTTCTTTAAGCACAATCCAAACGCTTTTGTTTCTATATTATGACGCGTATTGCCATCCAGAAATGTCCGCTTATGACGTCACGATGACTCCCGTTCACGCGTATAACCACCAGCAATGGGGTTACAAATTAACTGGCATATTTCTATGAAATTTACAGCAACGAGGGTGAGTATTCTTAATATGCATTATGAACAATATTATCCTGCTGAATCAATGTTGCACCGGAAAAGGGTTTGATTGGGTCGCCAGAAGAAGGGGGGACAGGCGTATGTCTCCCCCCTGGCCTTTGGAAAACATAAAAAAGAGAGGAAATATATTAAAACACATTTTTTAAAATTCTGTCTAGAAAACAGAGATTAATGGCCGTGGGGATCCGTTGCGCTGACCACGTGACACCCTCTATCCGCTAAAGTTGGCACTAACTTCGCCGACAAGTGGCGGGCGCTCGCTCCGTTGGTATAGTTCGCTTTCGGACTACAGGCCACGGAGTTTCTTTTGTTTTCCGGATACTCTTGGACAATCTGCAAAATCATTTTCAAATCTTCTGCCTCCCTCCTCCCGGGAAACAATGTGATGTGTTACAAGAGAGAAGGGGCAACTAACAATGTATGAGACAAACACGTACACAGCTGCACATGCGCAGATCCGCTTGCACTTGGCCGCTGTAACAGTCACGCGTTTGCATGGCGGTGCATTTCATAGTTCTCGGTTTCAGTGATGCGCGGTTAGGTTACAGAGCAACGGCTTAAGGATTGGAAGGCCGCGGTTCGATCTCCATCATGTACTGTACTGTACTCCTATCCCCGGTGGTTGAGACCGTCGAATCCTCCGGTTAAATTATCCAACTTGTGAATATATACATTTTTCTTTCATGCCCTCGAGACTTAATGTCTAACAATAAAATATACTGTTACAAATGGAAGTAAAGTTTGCCGCAGCATGAAGCTGACCAACTTCAGTTGCTTGTTGAAACTGAAAAAAAACTGCATAAACATGAAACTGAAGCTTTCAGTTGACGTCTGGTTTACCGACGGTGAGCAATGCACGTCGCGTCACACGGGATGCAGAAATCTCAAGGAAAGGAAGAATCTGAGAAACCTAGAAGCAGATGGGAAGAACAGGGGTCCAATGGCGACCGAACATCAGATCCAAATACATTCGTTTCTGAATGAAGGGATCTGTGTTATGGACGTGACACACAGGACAAGAACAAGACGTAAAGAGCGGCTGAAACGCGGGAAAATGATGGGAAATTGCATAAATGCAGCACAATTTCCTGCAGTCGGGTCGCGTATCTGACAAGACATGCCATGTAGGTGGCAGCACATCACGGCCTCCTACATTTTTACTGGCCTGTTCAATGTCAAAATGTTTTCGTGCTCTCTAATAAAAGGATCATTATACGTGTCCACTTGTGCCACTTCCAGAGACATCTGCGGGCACGTCTGGGAAACAAAAACACTCATAATTCGTTACAAAGTCTATTACCGCTAACAAGAACGCAATTGAGACTTAATGCACAAACAATTGGGGGGCTGTGCCAATACTGTGGACGGCAGACTCTGCTGTCGAGACTTCTTCCGTTACGTAATGTAAACTGGCACGAAGACTTGTGAAGAGGTACTGAGGAAAATCTTTGTTGGGATAACAGACCCGGGGCTGAGAAACCGGAACTTGCCGACGTCACAACTTTCTTCAGTTACGCGGCGTCTCGCTATCATGGCGCATGCGCGAACTCAAAGAGGGAACAGATGAGGTCAGAATCTATGTAAGGGCGACTGTTAGGCAACGGACGTCTTCCCAGAACTCACTGTCCCATTTTCTGTGTCAGTAGCTCTCAGACTGTGCAGTGTCATATGGTAGCATGAGAGGAGTATAGGAAAGGATCCGAAAGAAAGCGGTCGCTGTACTATTCCGCCATTTGCTTGCAGGGTCTGAGGAAAATCATGAAAAAATCAGTCGAGATAACCGAGTCCCTCCCGAGCGTTACCGCTACACCCAGCTGCTCGGTACTGCATGTGCATATGTAAATAAGAGCAGACCGCATGCTCTGTAATCACTGAGCAGTTTACATATTTCAGTGAAACAGCGATGAAGACGCAGCCAGAGAGAAACAACATATTGACTGCCCCTGGCCGCATGGCTCTCAAAGCGGACGGCTGTTGCGTTGACATGGCGATAGTGCGCCTTCCTGTAACGTGGTGCCACAGACGGCTCCGGTGGTTTTCCTCAGTCCTCTAAAGAATCAACTTGAGTGAACAAGCGGGCAAGTTTCTTTTGGTTTGAGATTATCACAGGGCGATCCGGCGATTTCCTTGTCTACTCTTATGATCGGGACACGCGCCATCTTGCTTGAAGTTCTTCATGGTTTTCCTCAGTCCCTACGGGTAAATTACGGAGGAGTACCTTGATTAGGTCACGAGCAGTGACACAGAAAAATATGGTCATGGGTCCAGCGGGGTCTGGAATCAAGAGTAACTGTGCTGGCGTAGGCTAGCAGCAATTTTTGCGACCGATCAATTAGACAACGACCACTTCCTTCCCAATTCATCACCGCTTCTACAATTCGACGCCATGTAGTCTCGTTACCGGCGACGCTGTAAAATATACATCGAACAAACAAACAAATATTGTGGTTACAGAGTTTGAGATAGAAGCATTTCTGAACGTACCTTGTACCGCATGATGTGACGTCACAGTCGGTACAGTCGCCGCATGCCGCCGGCACCAAACTGAAACAAACCGAACCAAACCGGTGAAACTCGGGAAAAGGCTCCAGGGGCGAGTCGTACAAGAGTTTCGAGTCGCCCTGTGATAACCAGACCGTGCTCCCACACATGGAGTTCACTGCGAACGCGAGGCCCGTTCAGTTTCCAAACGGCATTCTTTGTGAGCTGTATGAACCGGCCACGCTGGTTAAAGCGGCAACGCATCGGATTCGTATTCGGGAGGTACCGGGTTCGAATCTCGGCCAGGACACCGAAGATCCCTAGGTCTCTCGTGGTTTTACTCACTACGTCTGGATAGTGCCTTAATTATGCAACAACCACCCCTTTCCAGATTCTTACCAATTCATAATTCATCTATCATCGCACCATATCAGGGCGTGTTCTGAGCTACTGATATCCCCGACATCTTTCGTTGAAGATTTCAGACTCCATCTCGGATACCGATAGCCTATTCTTCTTCAGCAAGGGATCGTTTTGTAATTTGGGAATTAAATAATTTTTTAAATTTTTTTATTGCTAGTGGGGTGGGGCAAAGTCCCTTGTACTGCGGCCACTTCTGGCCTAATGAACCAGCCCCAGATGATAGGTGAGGGTGATTGTGGAGCAATTGATGGAATGAAGATTGGCAGGGGAAACCGAAGTACGCAGAGAAAACGTGCCCCAGCGCCACTTTGTCCACCACAAATCCCACNTTTCTGTGTCTGTGTACAGGTAGAGGCCTTGCGACGAGCCGATCAGCCGTCCAAGGGGTCCTACCGAATGTGTAAGACCTAGAAAAACCGAAGTGAACGGAGAAGTTCATGGTGGTAGGCCTGGGCCCACTGGGGCTGTAGTGCCAAGAGGAAGAATAAACAACAGAACTATTCCGCATTTTCTGGCTTTGTGCTGCTCTCTCGCGACTGAAATCTGATTTTTTTAATGAGGAGTACAGATTATATTGCATATCGTCACGCATGCGTAGTGTATACATAGCCTAACAATTGTCTGAATCACACGGACCACGCCATTCCAAAATATGTTACGGGATCCTGTATTGCAAACTGTGGGGCACGCCCCTGGGAGAAGTTACATAGCAAAAATGAATTTATTACGACCCTCAGCATTTCATACATTTACAAAATATTGATGAAAGCGTAAGATGAGTTGGTTTTATGAACGAAACACACGCAAAGCTAAGGAGACCAGTAAGAGTGGCAAGAAAACCATCGACACACTCCGACCTGAAATTGAGGTTACCTTCCATTGAAACAGTTAATAAAATCTTTTCAAACCCCAAAAGCGCTAACGAAGGCTACCAACACAAATTCTGTCGAGGCGAAACATTACTCCCGGGTATGGATTTCCGATTATGCGCTCACTTTGCACATCTCCTATTATACAGAACGAAAGGGCAGTGCTGTTGACGCGACAAATGACGTAACGATAATGACGTCACATGTGGTTGACATTCCCTGTCGCACTGTATGCAGAACACAGACATTAACATACCGCCACAGCCACAGTGGTAATTATGCGTACCGCCTGATTCAACATGACAAAATCTGCAGTATTCCACACGGTGCATTTACATGTTCGGTACGAGTCTGACAGTAAACAGGGATTTCTTTATAACTGAGACGCTGTTCTTCTGCCGGTCACAGTGGCCGCGCAGTCTAAGGCACGAACTGTCTTCGCCCACTCCAACACTGGAACCGTGAGTTCGAATCCCACTCCAGGCATGCATGTCCCTTTCGTTTATTCTGTTGTTCTGTGTGTAGGTAGCGACCTTGTGACGGGCTGATCACCCGTCCAAGGAGTCCTACCAACTACGTATAGGTTTAAGAAACTGAAAAAGCGGCCAAGGTCCAAAGGGCTGTAGAGCTATACAGAGAGAGAGAGAGAGTTTATTTTCTGTGACTTGGGAACTTAATTTATAAATACAATTTACACGAAATGCACGATACAAAGGCATGCAAATGGGGTGTACTGAATCAAGGAGAATGTTCCGTACTTACGAGCGTCCCTTGTGCCTGTTTCGCTCTCATGTGAGGTGCGAGAGCGCGCGTCCGTTCCTAGGCAACGTGTGTGTGCGGGAAGCGAATCCATTACACCTAGACCCGGTTAGGTGAGGCACTATTATCACAGGAACCAGGTCAGAGCATAAAACTCTTGCAAATGACTGTACCAGTCCTGGATGATGTGGAGCAGACAGCGGAATGAGAATTGGCGGGGGAAACTGAAATACTTCCTGAATACTGAAACCTGCTTCCGTGCCACCGTGTCCACCACAAATCCCATGTGATTTGACCTGGGATTGAACCCAGCCCGCCGCCATGGGAAACCGGTGACTAATGGCCTGAGCTGTGAGTGAAGGCCAACCGAACAAGTTTCAGTAGACGCCGATATTACACCTGGTGGCTACTTCCCGCACTTGGAGACACAACCAGGTTACTAATGAAGTGCGTCACCCTTGATTTAGGATCCGTGACTCTGGTTCCTTGCCCTTACTAAGCATGGCCACGTCTTAAATCTCCATTTCAACCTCGGCAAGCCTTCATCAGCTCACGTAAGCACACGCTGTTTAACTATACACTGCGATATTAGACACCAAGAGGAAGGTGTCTATTATAGGAACACCCAGCTGGAATGTCTGACGAAAACCACGACCGAAGATTTGTTTCCACCTGATACCCCAAGCATATCATTAAGAATCCACGATAAGTGCGTCCCCTGTCACAACGAGATGACATGTCCTCGCGTTGCGGATGCCAGACATGGAGTGCAGCAGTGGTGGACAGCCGACAGGAGGTGGTCGTCTGGCTTGGGAGTTCAGTGGCAGGTTAAGAATGTAGGCTGGCAAAGTATGACACGCTACACAGAGGTCCAGACTTCATGAATCATTAGCAACGGAAAATGTGAAGGACATGGATGCGAATAATCCTTTAAACACTGAGTTTCTTCTAAATACGTAGCACATACGAACTCAGTCCGTACCTCACAGGAAACTCATTACGTCTCCGCTACAAAGCCCAACCGTTTATTGCTGTTTATTGTGAGAACCAAACGGAACACACAAATACACTCTGTGGGCAGAAACAGAGCTTTACTGTGTTAAAGCGGGTGGTACATACAGTAATCACTGGGCTTTAAAGGGCTAAAGAGACTCAGAACAAGCTCGAATGTCAGTCCGTAGTGGGAGTGGCAGTGATACTTCGGGATGGACAAACGGTGGAGGCTTTCTTAGGGAGCTGAGCGACTGCTAGTTTCCCTGGAATGGCACTGCTGTAAGGAGCGGCTATTGTTCAGTGTTCTTATCAGGATGGGGAAGTGTCATTGACTGTATTCTCAGCAGCAGGCCGGCTCGTGATGATACTGGTGATGCGGTTCTCCCGTATCAAGGTTAGGAACAAAATGGATGGCAGCAGAGTCGAACGTGCTCAGTCCATATACGGTCTCCATGGCAACGTTACATTAACAATGACATGAGTATTATGATATGCTCAGGGTTACCAGTGTTACAGACTCGTTAGAGAATGAAACATTTTTATTGGGTTATTAATGGCACCCTGCAAATGTGTCCCTCTTCTGCTTTTACGCCGGTTTATGCAAGAGGTAGGTGGTCACGTGCACGTGCTTCATCTCACAGCACAGGAGAGCGGCAGGCTACGTGACGAAACAAGTTGTTATGGCAATCAGACCCGCAGAAACACACAGCCCCACCCCCATCATTACCATAAACCCAGCAGTAAGGCAATATGAAGGGACGCAGCACGCCATGACGCCGTGTGTGCTGTGTGCTCCAAGAGGCACTGCATTTCTTAGCCCGTGTCACAGCTCAGAGGCTCCCCAGGTTCGAACGCAGGGCTGCTTCCGAATACTTCGGTTTCCCCTGCAAATTCTCATTCCACTGACTGCTCCACACTCATCTGTCCGGCGCTCTTACAACAGGGCAAATAGTGGCGGACGTACCGGAAACCTCTGAGTACAAGACGCGAGCTTCGTTCCACCAACTGGCTGCCATCCAGAGCCAATAACCCGCGCAGATGACAGGACGTTTGTGAAGCAATCAATCGTGACGTCACGACACTACCCACATAACCGAAACATGTGGTTTCGGGGAAAGTTGCTGCCTGACGAAATATTAACGGAAACGCACCCAGTTTCGGCTAGAACCGAAAATCGACTCCGTACACGGAGACATCTGTGTGGACTTATAGGCACCGAGTTCGTGACAGATTGGTAGTTCCGCTCATGACCCTGCTAGTGGCACAGACTCTACGGCGTCATGTGATGAGAAGGCAGCTCCTGCCCGCGACTGGAACCCAGCACCTCTTGAATACAAGTCTAGAGTGTTATCGTTGCCGGCTCCAGTGGCAACTCTAACACTGACAGGCCTGTACTGAGTTCAAATCTCGCTCGATCCATTACCTGGCGACAGGAGGAAGCGAAAGGCCGAAACACCATCCAAGAAGTCCCACCGCTTGTCTAAAAGAGGCGAGACCGAGGATCTCACGGGGCTATAGCACCAAGAAGCAGTCCAGTTTTACAGGTTGTAAAGCTGTTGATTTAGTCGATTGCCCGACGTTTCGGAGGAACCTATAACCTGCACCCTCTGGCTCGAAGTGTAAGCCAAGCAAAAAAAAAAAAAGTGGCAGAAGCGCTAAGCTTGTTGCCTGCTTCTGCTGCCTTTTTGCTAGGCTTACACCTGTCATTGAAGATGGAAGCGATATGCATACGCGAAACGTCGAGGTCTCTCCGAAAACGTGGCGTCACAACCCACAAGACCGCACTCTGCTTACTCACCGCCGTAAGAACCTCACATCCAAAAACGGATCCTTCTTTTGCAGGGCGGATATGAGGCGTGGAGAGAAACGATTTTCCACGGACATGAAAAATCTAATTTTGATTTTGGGAAAAGCGTCTGGTCATTTTCGTCAGTATTCGATGGAGTCTTTTATCCTACAAGGATCACGCGGTCAAACAGGAGTAAAGAAAGACGGACCGTGAAGTTGCCCACATGCATA